TATTATATTATATTATATTATATTATATTATATTATATTATACTTTTGTTGAAAAATTTTGTCACAACCTTTCATTTTAAGAAAAATCTGCTGCTGCTTACTATGGTAGGAGGATTTCTGTTTATCCTGTTATGTTGTTGATCATGAAATATATTATTTTTTCTATGCCTATTTACAAGACCATAGAGTTATTTTTTTCTTTTTTTTTTTTAAATATTTCTAATGTTTATTTATTTTTGAGACAGAGAGACACACAGCATGAGCCAGGGAGGGGCAGAGAGAGAGGGAGACACAGAATCCGAAGCAGGCTCCAGGCTCCGAGCCGTCAGCACAGAGCCCAACACGGGGCTCGAACCCATGGACTGTGAGATCATGACCTGAGCCAAAGTCAGATGCTCAACCAACTGATCCATCCAGGTGCCCCTATTTTTTTTTTAATTTTTAAAATGGAAGGTGTGTTTTCTTAGTGAAGGGGAGCAGAATCTGCCAACCCCAAATATGTCCTGTTGGAATACTGGTTATTTTGAATTAAAGTTACTTAAGAAACAGCGGTGCAAGAGGGACTGTGTGACCCGCCTTGTCCTCCTGAAAGTATGAGATTAATCTCTGCTGTGAAAAGTACCCTCTGAACCAGAAAGACATCCTTGCCACCAGAGAGACAGGTCGAGGGCGGAGAAGGCTGTGCAAGCAAACCTTGTGACTTCCTCTCTAGTCTACCACTCCAAACCCAAACATCTTTGTCTCGTCAATTCTTCACAAATTTATTGTCTCCTTGTCTAAAAGCTATAAAAGCATGCCTGCTCTGGTCAGTGCTCTGAGTCTTACATTTCCAGTGGGGTTTCTGTACATGTGAATTAAATTTCTGTTTTTTTTTTTCTTCTTCTTCTTCTTCTGTTAGTTTATCTCACATCAGGTTAATTATCAGACCAGCCCAAGAGGTTACAAAAGAATTAGGGAGGAGTTTTCCTCTCCTATGTGACTTTTTTTTGCCATACATTTCTATTTCTATCCCATTTTGGCCTGGATATGGGGTAAAAATATGTTATTCTGTGTACATGCATTGAACAGTTTGTTCCTAGTATGTGACCATGCTTATGTTTCATACTTACTTGAACAAAATTTTCAGGTTCTACTTGAAGGTTGAAGATCTTTTTAAAATAAGTCTAATAAGTCCATGGTCAAATCGATAAGCTTCCTAACTTGTTATCTATTGAACCTATGAATCATAAAGATGTATAAGAAGACATTTCCAATGTCTCCCTATAATTCAGTCGTGTCTATATTAAATTATGTTCTTAAGCTGAAAAAAAGTTCCTGACTGTCATATATTCCTGGTGAATATATACCCCTAAACAAAGTATAGTACTATTTTGTGGGTCAGTAATTGCATAATAGGTACCTGTGGTAAGGAATGATAGATAGTTTGATGATAGGATTCCAGGTTGATGGTTATTTTCCTTTAGTTTTTCAAAGATCTCCTTCTTTTAGTCTGTGTTAAGATGCCTTTTATCAAGCTAATAACATGTGTTTCTTTCTTTGGCTGTTTGTTAGATCTCCCTGCCTTTGGTATACTTCAGTCTTACTAGAACGTGTCTAAGTGTTCAGTGATTTTCACTAAAGCTACTCAGGACACCCTAGACTTAATAAATGCAA